GAGTAAAGTTTATATATATATATATATACATACAAAAAACGTACTCTTAAATCACTATATCTATTGCTGAAACTTGTACTAAAAGATTAGCGAACTTTGTTTTATTCTATATAAAGATACGAATTCTATAAAGTCTTATATCGTTCATAAAATATATACAATACATCCCCAAAAAACGGTTTTAATTAAAAAATATATAACTGCAATACCGTTTTCCCTGGAATACATTAATCGAGTCTGAATGTATTGACTTTGACTATTATTTTCGATTCACTCGTGTGTTTACAAAATATGAAAACTGTAAAATGGACTATTAAAAGCTATATTTATTGTTGTTCATGGCCGATTGATGTGTTTGTTCGTTACTTTCGAGCTTTATAAATATTTTTTGAGCCTTATCATTGCATAAGTTTTGAGTTATAATATAAGCAGATATTTATTACTTAATGAATATATATTATTTTGTTTAATACCATGCCATTAGCATGTATTACATAACAAATATTCAAGTTAATGGTATTGGAATTTATCAAAATTATATAAATGCATTAAGTAATTAAATGGACCTCCGCAAAGTAACACCTAATTTGATAAAATATATGTATTTATTTGTACTACATTTATAACAGGCTCATGAAATAAATTCGTGACAAGACATAGAAAATAACATATAGAAATCGGCAAAAACTATATAGGTACATTAAATCCGTGAAATAATTGTCTTGCCTATACAAGGCATCATATGTAAAATATTAAATCATCATATGTAATCACCACGACTAATGAAATTAGTAATTTGTACAAAACATTATAATGCCTTTTTTCGTCATTCAGTAGTGGCCAATAGCAAATCTACGTAGTTGATTTATCCTAATGATATTGACGTTTGCAGCTTCGTCGGGTTAAATCCCCTATTTAACCCGAGTGTCCGTCTATTCGATGCTTATCTACTAATGTATATATCTACTATTTCAATAATTAAGTAATAAAATTGTATATGCCTAATAAAAATCATGTTTAATTTCGTTTTGCGTCCTTTAAGGGTTATTTTTTCGGTGTATACATAGATTTATCAAAAAAGTGTGTGAAAATTTCATTGGAATCCCTCCAGCTATTCATACGTGAAATATAGACTAAGAGATAAACAGTCGATCTTCGCCATTTTAAGCTTGTCATATATCTTTTTATCTTAACAAATATTATGTACAAATTGATTACAACTTACTATGTCTTTGATTATTTATCGTTGCTTAGTTACAACGACAAAATACGTGAATAGTTTACAGAGCATGCAAATAACCTTCACGTTATATTGTTACTATTTGGAAGTAGTAAGAGTTTCAAGTTTGTTAGATACTTCTAGGAAGTTTCTACGTAGAGTTCAGAAATTCGGTTCTACGTAGAGCTGTAAAACGTTTTACTAATTATACTTACACGATTACAGAGATGCTGCAATGCAGAATTCCTAGAATTTCATAATACCATTTAATGCAAGAGTGTAGTAATAGACTACTAGTATGAATGCATACTCGTGTAATAGGAAAATGGAATCCAGTTATTGCACTTATAGTAATTATTGCTATCAGACTAATTGCAAAATTCTAATTTTGTTATTTCAGGACTCCTACGCAAGTAGATGGGTGTTAAAAGTTTGAAGTATCTTAGTATGTTCGAATGAATTAATTATGAAGCTTGAAGAACCAGCTAAAAATAAATAGCTAAAAATGCAACCGATATCTGTTAATATAAAATATTTACTAAACAACATTAAATTACATTATTATTTTTATTGTATAAAGTGTGGTCAGATATTGTAAGGAAATAACAAAAATTGGATAATTATTCACCGCCAACAACGTTAATACTGCTTTATTTACCGACATGTTGATATTATGTTTATTTTATTTATCATAGCGACTATAAATGTAACAGATACTTTTGCTTAAATGTAAATAATAATATGCATTATAATGTAAATGTATTACTTTTATGAACATTTGTAATCTAATGATATAATATCGACTAGATTGAAACTCATGACCTTTATATCAGGATAATAAACCACTAGGGCTCTCACAGTAGTTAGTATTCTTTTGAATGTACTCTTGAAAAATCTTTAAGAGATCATCCCCCCATCAAATCCGTAACGAGAGGGTGAGTGGGATTCTTACCCACTGAAATACCTCATAATCTACCTATAAGCGCCATTGCCGGAGTAGCGTTAGCAGTCTACCATAACTCCTACGGTGTTGGCCCGCCTTATAGATAGTGTAGGGCAAATCCCATCTCGTTGATAGGGCCACCTATTTCGCCCTACTCAATCTCATAGAACCATATTACTAGTAAAACATTAGAAGATTATGATATCACCCTATAATACACAATAATCATAATTATTGAAAAAAGTGCAATGTTATTTCGATAAATAAATTCCTAAATTAAACCGACCAATCTAGGTAGAATTGTAAAGTTTGCGGTACCGTTTACCATCAGATGGGTATACTGATTTGTCACCATCCTAGTATAAAAAAAGTCATTAGTATTGGTATTTCATCTTCACCTTTTTGTTTTGGACGCCAAGCTTCGTAGTAAGAACTTAAATAGTGAGATGACATCTTATTCCTTTTGAACACGGATAACACGGATGGTACTTGATAACGTGACGTTCTTAGTGATTAGTTATATAGGCAACAGTACCACTTATCACCAGGTGGACCGACAGCGAATTTGGTATTTTAATTACATAAAGAAAATGTAAACTACCTAAAATCTTGACAATAACCACAAATTAAACTTATTACATACACAGACAATGTAATAAAAAATGTTGATTGTAATAAATTGATAGTTATATAAGCGACGCAACGGTTACTACGTACTATCAGGACATCAGCCATTCTAATTAGGTACATAAAAATTAAATTTTATTTTTCTATTAAACATTAATATAATACATAAACGACGATAATAAAATGACAAATTTTTAATATGAAAAAATGTAAATATATTATCGTAAATGACCACAATCTCGATTTATGATATGATCAATTCTATGAATGGCACCGTCATATATACATCCAAACATAATTTTCTAACTGTTTGATATTAATCTATCTATATATAGATATGTAATTTATTAAAGAATAGTGTGGCTTTTGTACGGGGAACAAAATTATGATGTGTCTGTAATTTGACGCAGTTAGTGTTCGATTGAGGGGCACGGAATGAAAGGAAATGTGATTGATTGAAACAATTGTTTGATCCATCATTCAATACGTACATAATTAGTCTTGACTATAGATACTTTACATTTATAATGTTACTGTTTTAGGATTTTGGATTTTAGGATTTGTACAGTTCGTATTTTGTTAAATATTTTTTGTGAATCAAAGGTATATACAAGTACATACGAGATTTTAATAACTGAATTTAACAGTATTAATAAAGTCGCTTGTATTAAAGGTCAAGTATTAATATATTTTACACATACATACTTACATTAATCTGCAATTTCCTTTGTTCTTATATTTGTTTCCAATTTTAAAGAACGACAGAAATCAAGTGGATTTGCCTTATGATTTGTTTAATGTATATTACCTGACAATAGAGATAGAAAGAATATTTTTTTTACCAAACATTAAAAATAACATTAATTCATGACAATATATTTGATATTTGTTACATTCATATATTAAAATACAGTAGTGAGAAATACAGAAAAGTGTATTTATTTTTTATATATTACAGAGATTTCTCGAGATAACGCAATATTCAGACAGACAGGAACTTTTTGAGCTTCACATAAACATAATTAACTTTGAATATTTAATAGTATATTTCCCAGTAAAATCGTAAATAAAATATCATCGGAATATTTGATTCCATAAAAAAAATATTACTGATAAATATTTTAAAAGATTTTTCCCGTTAAAAATTCACCGCAGTCATTATTTTACTGGCTAAAAAGTCCCGTAGTACATTATTAATAATTTAACAGCAACAAATCCCTCAGTGGCTTGGTTTGAAAAGAGTTGCTAACTTCTTATAAACAATTAACAACGTTGCATAAATTTATAGCGCTCTCCTTTTTTACCGTAAAAATAAATTTCCCGGTGATTTTCTACGGCATATCAAATTAATAACTTGAATAAAGAGAAAGATACTAATAGGTAGGAATAATGGTTTCAAAATGTTATTAACAAAATGATTTTTCAAATTATGTGTAGCTCATACATAATGTATATAAAATTACCACTAAATTTCGGGTAAAAATAAATAAACAAACGTATACACCTTGCCAATTTGATTGCTGAATTATTCATGATGTCTCACAACAAACCCACCTGAGCGAGAGCTGAAGGGAGCGAAGGAGGACTCTTCAAATAGGACTCGTATCGTTGTTTGTGCAACCTCGTATAAGGGTCCCAAATAAAAAAGTACCACAACTTGATGGGCATGCAGATTGTGAGTAGATAGGTATAATTATGTAGAATACATTAAACTTTTTCGAATAACATATCCTAACCTATAAAGAACTTTGACCAAAATCTGTCAAAAATTCTTCCCCAGTTTTATATGAAGACTTTTTCAAAATTACAAGTGTAAGAATAATAATATTATTATATTCTATATAAGAATAGTAAATTTATAGATAAGTATTATAACATATATTCTTTAACGCCCCAAGCATGCAAATATGTATGTATATTATTTAATGCAAATAATTCTAATTTCTGGTTTCGGATATGAAACTACTTGCCATAACCCGCTTGAATTTATTTATAAGCGTCATATGGATCAATCCATAGTGGGTCCATTATCTGTATATCACATCGCATAATTATATCAATTAAAAACAAAAAATAATTATTGATATTTACAACTAGCAAAAAAAAGAAATTACCACAAATTGTCCAGAAAAAAAACCTAAGCTGTCAAAACCGTCTCGAAAAAGTAAATGTCAATGTCATTTCAGAATCCATTCAATTAATTTGACATAAATGGCTACTGTAAGCCGCTTGCTACCAACACGCCATGAATTTTATGCAGAATTACAAGAACGCGTTGATCTTTGTGAAGTTCGGCGTCACAAGAGATTTCTAGCTGTCTTGTTACTTCAACGTATGGTTAGAGGTCATTTAGTCAGAAAACATATAGGGTGGCTTTCAAAAAATGCTATTACTATACAATGTGCCTTTAGAGTACATCGAGCACGAAAAGCATATAGGGCAGCATTAAGGCGAGCAGTACGGCAAAAGCATGCTAGACATTATGCTCGAGCGGCTAGAATTATTCAGGTATTATAATTTATTTAGGTACGCTATATTTTTATCGAATTCTAAAGCTTATTATATAACGTATTAACACAAAAATAGAATATATTAGTTTAACTAGACTAAAACATGTACGATATTAGCTTACCATTTATATATTGGTTATAATTTCAATAAAGAATAATTGCGTAAAATGTATTTATTTAATTGGCACAGTTGCGATAAACAAAAATAACTACAAGTAGATAGTCGCATTTCAATATTAGAATAGTACTTAGGAAGTAAAATCAGTCTATTATTAGCCCCCATTTTTATTCTCTATACATAATTTACATATATGTAACATTAATATTTGATACACAGGCGCTCTATCGTGGACATTATTCAAGACGAACCAAGTTCTGTTACCGAGCATATCGTTGTTGGTTAGCAACAGTCACAGAACGAGGAGAGAGAAGAGCTGCTGAAGCAGTAGAATTTGGAGTTCGAAGCAGAGCTGACGACTTAAGGATCTTGGAAGAAGAAGCTCGACAGTGGTTAGCTTTTGTCGTTTTCAAATTACACCATCTGTTGAGAACTTACGTTTGTGCAGGCGTGTACTCCAACACAGAAACATCGGACCTTTCCGAATTTGAGAAACTATTAAAATCTATACATTACACGGAATACATGAAGAGGTTAAAACGCAAGTACTCTGAATTTGTAAAGAAATATCGACCAAGATTTTCAAATAAAATATTATTTCCCGTTATTGGAGATGGTGCTGATTATTGGTATTTATCACTGGCGGAAATGTATCAATTGACAGCACCGTTACCCCAACGCGTGGACACGAGGTATTTAGCAATTCATCATGGACCGCAGCATAAACGTCCGTTTTTGTGGAAAAGGGTACGACCACCGAGTCCTGACAAAGGTAGAGGCCCTTTCACTCCACCACGTTCACCGACTTCTTCAAGTAGTCCAGCACCACCAGCGCCCACTCCAACTGTTAGTGGCGACGCTTATCTCAACAGAGATCCAAGATTTCACCTATATGTAAAACATTATATTCCTCAACCCGCATTATTCGACTATGTTGACTTTCACATAAATGTACTGCTAACTCGGAAATGCTCTATAGAACATATAAATAAAGAAAAATAATTGCATTTTATAAGATAATCTTGTTAATTTTTAATATTAATAACACAACAGAGGTTTGTTTGAAAACACTTGGATTTTGTACATGGCTGCGTATTATTTCTCCTTTTATTTTTTTTGCTCGGATATCCGTAATCAGGCTGCCTAAGTTTGGAAGGGTCGTCCGGATGTTACAAGCCGCGAGCCTTTTGTTGTTTCGCTTTTGTTGCTGAGAATTTTACACTTGTAATTTATTTCAGGAAACGCCTTGGTGAGAAAGAAATTACGTAAACTCTCTAAGGAAAATGTGTTTTGTAAATTAACATTTCACTTCTGTAGGTTTTAAGGCCGGGAATTTTTGTTTATTACCTATCATGAATTATAAATGTAATGTTAATAATAAGACCGTTAAATCCCAATTGAAATTGAAATAAAACTGATGAAGCGTACTACAGAATGACTTGAATTTGTGTAAGGTTTTATGGAAGATGTATTTCATTTTAACATTCCGAGTATCTCCAGACTATATTCAGTGCTTTTGGCTTGAGCGATATCGCCTATAAGTGAGACTTGCAAAATCTCTCCTCTTCTATTCATTCATAAATTGAGAAACAAATGAACTTGTCAGACCATATTAATTAAATTAAACCACGTCAAATTTACGCCTCTCTTACAATAAATGTCTATAATATACTATTTGAAATAATGACCGTACGTCTTCAAACTCATTTGTCAGACCATGCCTGTTTGACTTGCTAAATTTATTAGGGTCAGAATAATGCAGGTTGCGCGCTTCTGAACTCCTTAAATTGCAGCCCATCTTAGACGGGTACCCATTTGTTAGACGTATAATAGTTGACCTAATTTACTTATGTGCTGTGTATTTCCTACAATGTCTGTGTGATTTGCATATTTGATGCTACACGCTTTCGATTATTCATACCCTGTCATGTTTTTGACAATGAATCGTTATTAGGTTGAAAATACGGTAGTGATTTGAATTCCTATTTTGTATTGATAACATACTCGTATATAGTAGTTTATTCATGTAATTTTTATTACATATTATAAGTGATAAATTATATAATTTATGTATATTTATATATGTATATTTTAAAGCATTGATAATTTAGGTACACTAGCAATAAGAAACAGTGAGTTGAAAGCTGAAAAGTAATGTTTATAAAGCTCATACATTTAAAGAAAGTTTAAAACATTAAAATGAACAATTATCAAATATTCTTTATTTAATCGTGGTTGGCTTTCACTTTAGTAACTCTTATTTTTCGCCTTCATTTTGGATTTTGAAAACTTTGCGTCAACTGAATCTGTCAAACTCGCACTAAGGGTATTTGGAACATGAATAATGCATGGAGTAAATTTGCAAGTGTTTCAATTTACACCCGCCGACACTCCAACCCGTTACGCATCCGACTTATTGAAGCGAAAAAAATAATGACAATGCGTAGTGTTTTAAAAATAAAAATAGACTCCCATGGATTGATGTACTGGCAGTCTAATTATATTATAGTTTTGGATTTATATATACTATTTTTTTGCTGAAGTGAGAGAAATACAGTATTTAGAAAAAAAATGTTTTAATGTATATAGTATATATATGCCTAGACTCTTCTGACTCATCTATTTAGGCCGTCAAATAACGTTACGTTTATGCCTGAATAAATTACTCAACATATTTTTAGAAAAAGTAAATATGATAGCATTTGTTTAACAAATACTATTTGAAATACAAATTAATTAATTTAGGTATGGATATCTTTTAACTAAAAACAGACAAGGTCGCCGATAATAGGTATTTATATACTATAAGAATAATAATTACTCTAGACAATTCACACAGCGTCATTCAAGCGTCGTAAATTCAAGCTAAGCATATCATAGTAACCATAAGATAGATTATGAAATTCTAATTTAATACATGAAGTAGTCGCTATAAAACTGGGTGTGTATATTTTACAATATTATCTTACATTAAAACATTTTGATTATTCGTACATAAAATCCAATATATAGAATAAAATGCATTCCCTTTCAGTTCATGATTAATTTTGTCAAAATCGTAACAAAATAAATTATATTCCATAAAAATAAAAGATGTATATAGTATATACTCAATAAGCTTAAGATTGATTAACTTATTTAAATCATTTAATTTGCACAATCTTTTTTTAGAACCCACTAGGGTCGCAGGAAATTCTGCCACTTGTATAGATAATGTTTTTTGTAATTGTGAAGTAAAGGTGAAAATGAATTTCGACTGTCTTGGATCTGATCATTATGGACAAAAAGTTATAATTGAAACTAAGGGATCCAAAGGGACTCAAACAATTACATGCAGACAAATAACACAAAAGAATTTGGCACGTTTTAAAAATAAAATTGAACATAAAATATCTAGTGTCATAGTACCTCAATATGACCCGGACATTGTATGTGAACATATTTTTAATTTAATTGAACATGAAGCTAACAGTGAATTTAAAACAAAAACCTTTTCAACTAGTGTAAAATCAAAGTTTTGTGACTGGGCCACGTTTGGTATTTATAAGTCTAGGGCTAATCTTTACGAACTTTACGAAAAACGAAGCTATATATCCGATCCCTTATTTCATGAACATGTAAAATCTTATTCGAAAATATTTAAAAAGGTTTGTCATACAGCTAAGTCTCTTTATTTAGGTTAAATAATAACTAAATCTAAAGATAAAATAAAAGCCTCTTGTAAAGTAATAAATAGCGAAACTGGAAAAGTAAATGTTCTAAATAGCAAAATAGCTTCAAATATTAATAACAAATTGGTAAATTCCGACACAGAGGTCGCGGATACATTCGAATCTTATTTCACTAATATTCCATTAATTACGACACAGGCTCTAAAATCTTCCCCGTCTGCTGCTGAAACTTTACTAACAGACAATGTTAGCAAGTCATCAGCTGTATTTAACTTTAGACATACATCATCAGTAGAAATAATGAAAATATTCAAACAGCTTAATAATAAAAAAACAGAGGATCTATGGGGTATATCTGTTAAAATACTAGATAGTATAATGGAAATTATTGCGCCCTCTCTTGCTTTTATTTTCAATAAATGTATAGATGAAGGTAAATTTCCTAACATAATGAAAATTAGTAAAATCATACCGCTTTTTAAATCTGGAGATAGGAGTGACCCAATAAATTATAGACCTATATCTATACTCCCAGCACTCAGTAAAATTTTTGAAAAAATAATCCTTATGCAGCTTGTCAGTTATTTCAATTTAAATAATTTAATCCACAATAGTCAATTCGGTTTTTCCAAAGGTCGTTCAACTACAGACGCAGGTGCAGAGTTGCTTAGACACGTATTTGCTGCATGGGAAACTAAAATGGATGCGATAGGTGTTTTTTGTGACCTTTCTAAGGCTTTTGATTGCGTTGATCATAATACATTGCTAAAAAAACTTGCTTTTTATGGCGTCAAAGACAATGCTTTAAATTTAATAAAATCTTATCTATCTGATAGAATACAGAAAGTGAAGGTTAGCAACGCTACGTCTGACGGGTCACTTGTGCAAATGGGTGTACCTCAAGGATCTATTCTCGGTCCATTTTTATTCCTAGTTTACATTAATGATCTCCCATATGCCATGCAGGATAGATGCGGCATAGTATTATTTGCAGACGATACTTCATTGATTTTTAAAGTTAATAGAATGACTAATAATTATGACGATGTAAATAGTGCTTTGCGGCGTCTCCTGCACTGGTTTACAACTAACAATCTTATGTTAAACGCTAAAAAAACAAAATGTGTTAATTTCTCTCTGTCTAAAAGTTTTAATACTAATTGCAATATTAAATTAAATGACGAATCTCTGGAATTTATAGAATCTACTGTCTTTCTAGGAATCACACTAGATAATAAAACACAATGGGGTGCACAAATTCAAAGCCTTGCAGCGAAACTAAGTTCAGCAGCTTTTGCCGTGCGTAAGGTTAGACAGTACACTGATACTGATACTGCTAGATTAGTCTATTTTAGTTATTTTCATAGTTTACTCTCTTATGGAATATTACTATGGGGAAAAGCGGCAGATATTAAAAATATATTCATATTACAAAAACGTGCCGTTCGAGCGATCTACTGTATGAAGAGTCGTGACTCATTAAGAGAGAAATTCAAAGAGGCAAATATTCTCACCGTTGCTTCTCAATTTATATATTCAAATATCCTATATGTTCATAAAAATCTTGACTTATTTCCAAAAAAAAGCAATATTCATAATATTAATACAAGATTTAAAGACAAACTTGCTGTCCCCAAGTATCGTTTAGAAAAAGTTAATAGGTCTTTTATGGGAATAGGTATAAAAATTTACAATAAGATACCAAAGGATATGTTGGAATTACCCTTAAATAAATTCAAAACATCTGTTAAATCATATTTACTGAGCAAAGCCTATTACTCACTAAACGATTACTTGAATGACGAGTGTGCATGGCAATAGTTGTTCATGCACTGAATTTTCATTTAATGTTAGACATAGACACCTATATAAATATACATTGTAAATAAACTGGCTTTAAAAAAAAAGTAATTCAATTGAGTTTCTTGCCAGTTCTTCTCAATTGGATCTATATACCGAACTGGACGGTAGGGAAAAAAATAAAATTATAATGTAAAAATTTGACGTTCATAAGCGGCTAAAATGTCCTACATGAATAAATGATTTTTGAATTTGAATTTGAATTTGAATATACATTTATAATACAAACCATCGTAAAATATGTCATCCCTATTTTCCTGATATCGAATCGAAAATGCTAGTCAATATTTCTAGGTTTAATTAGGCGAGCGAACCGTGACCTGTATGAAAAATGTAGACGGCACGATGTGGTATTCTCTCACCAATTACTGCGTACCAACGCCGCTGAGAGATAGTGGCAACCAGGGTTGCCAACCTTACGAGGATCTATACTCATATTCATACTGGGTCGAGGACATCCTCTTCTTTTTTTTGGAATTATTTCTAACGCTGTAATCTGGCCTTTATAGCTTCATCGGAAGAGAATAAGAGCGAATGAAAAGTGTACTCCAAACCTGCGGAAGGAATGGAGTGACTGATTAAATTGAAAAA